TCAAAGAAAATTATTAATGTGTGTTTTACCGATGCAGTATATTTATACTTGCAGTGATTACACAACATAACTAGATATGTAATAATATATCTTAAATTGGCATGTTCCTCAAAGAATGACATAATTTCTATCAAGGATTTTATACACACTGGAAGTGCTGCATAATATACGTAGTACAAGAGAGAAAAAAATAATCAACCGTGATAAGGGAATTGCTACAGACATAGCAACACGTGACTTATCGCCTTATCGGCACAGCAATGATCGACATGAGTATCGTACATTAACCCTGAGGATCTTCAAAATTTTGGCCCGCATTACATAATTGTTTACTAATTTCCGCCCGAAATTAACTTTTTAATTTTTTCATTACAAAAATATAAATAAGCCCGCATTATGGTAAAATTGACCCAGGAACAATTTTCACTTAATTGGCGGCTGCGATTTTATTAGTAAAATTATGAGTAATTCCGGCCTAATGTTTTTATCGTCGCTCTTAGCCAATCAAAATCGAGGATCTGCCGCGCATTTTTTGTGCGGTACCTAGGTTCAATAATTTAGATAGACGTTTTGATTTTTCTTCGACTTTGAGCGAAAATATCTCACTACCACTAGACAAAGTTAATGAATTTTTTTATTTAAAATCTGTGAATTTATATAATTCAAAAAAAAATCATCAAATTTGTCCTGGTGGTTGTGGAGATATATTCGCTCAAATATTTTTAAAAAAATTGGCGCAGCATTAAATTAGATAGACGTTTTAATTTTTCTTCAACTTTGAGCGAAAATATCTCCACTACCACCAGACCAAACTCGATGAATTTTTTTTTTATTTAAATTCTATTCATAGAATTCAAATAAAAAAAAAATTATCAAATTTGGTCCAGTAGTTGTGGAGATAGTTTCGCTCAATTTAAAAAATTGTTATAAACGCATTAAGAACGTAAATCAATTTTGGGGTACATTTTAGACCTATTAAAAAAGCAACCGCAGATCTATCAAAAACGATACTTTTGCGTCCGTAGATCGTCCGCTGAATTTTGCCCATATTCTTTACGCAACAAAATATAGTTGGTTAAATGTTTCTGACCATTTAAATCGAGAATATTTATGTTAACTAGCCAATTAACTTTTGAAACCTCAACTAGAACTTTAGACTAAATTACTCGTCATAACAGATTTGTTACTTTACATAAATAATTGTTTATATTATATGTCATTTTAATACTGATGTTAACCGAAGATTTTACTATTTCTGTACAAATTTTCATAGTGTTTAACACTTCTATTATAGTGACAATAATACACAACTAGGCAATTATTAATTGTACAGTGTGCAAACACTAGTGTTTCGGGCTAAATTAATTTCTAAAATCCGAAATATTTCGCCAATAAGAAATAATTTCGCCAGAGCGAAATATTTTAGGTTCAAACTGCAAAATATATAGCAATTTGCACTTTTTGATGTCCGAAAACATTTCGCCAGCGTAAAATAATTTCGTCTGGGCGAAATATTTCGGATACGCCCGAAACACTAGCATTAAGTTAAAAAAGAAAACTCAGAACGACAACTTGTATCTCTATATACTAACAGCCAATGCATCATAATCTTCTTTAACGCTTGATTGCGGTACATACATACATATTTTATTTTAATTTCATACGGTAATGGTTCATTAATTATATATAATATTCGTTGCTAAAGTAAAGTAGTTAACATGAATTTTAAAAGGGTAGTTTAATGTTAATAGTGTATATGATTAAAATAGTTAATAGAAATAGCAATAAGAGGAAATAAAAAACAAAAACTCTTAATTTCAGGAAATTATGTATGAGCTTTTGTAACACAAATTATGAAAACACATGATTAAATTTATATTTTAGTAATTATATGGATGATAAAGTAATATTTTTAAAAATTAATTGGCATAATTAGGAATGAAGAACATACTATTATAACTAATTAAGATTAGTATCAAAACCCGATTTGACAAACTTTTATATCTGACAAGATGTCGTACGTATGACTATATCAAATATGCTTTTAAGTGTTAAGCACAATAAAATTTTATCATGTAAATGTTTTAAGAAAATTCTATACGAAACTTTATGATTATATACCAAAAGTGCAAACTACTACATATGATATTACGGAATTAACAATGTTTTATTTACTGTAATTCTATTAATTAACTATATATATATTTATTATATCTAATATTAAAAAACACATTAACCTATTACATTAAACCAAACAATTGTTCATTACACATAAACCCACAAAAATTAAAATTTCGAATATTACTCATATGTTCCTTGAACAATATTCACACAACCTAACGTACTTTTGCTAACATCGCACTTATCGGAAGCTGTTTTATCGCAACAACGAATACAGAAATGGCCATAATCCGATCCTTCAATATTAGGCTCGACAAGGTTTACAAATGAATCATATCCATAACAACTTGCACCAACAGGAGCTTTAGTGTCATATTGACCACCTCCGTCTTGTGGGGACGTATATACATTTCCATTAATGAGTCCGGTGATTTGAACATAACCATCTCCAGATGCGTAGTACATTGTGTGGATAAATCCATCCGGGAAAATATTAACATTAGGAAATTGCACGAAATGTGCAGAGCAGAAAACGACAGCATCACTTTCACTAGTGCCAATGTCTTGACCGGGAGTTCGTGGAAGAAAGGAACAGAACGCTGTTTCATTGTATACTATGGCAGTAATCGGATCACCACCATCACGAATTTTTAAACTGTTTACGTCCACAGAGACGGCACGAGCATATGTTATAATTGCAAGGACAAATAATACTATAAATAGTTTTGCCATTTTTTGTATAAAAATAAATTTGATTTTTATATTTAGAAACGAATAAAATTTACAAAATTAATATTTTTTTGAGCGAATTGAAGAATTAGGTGTTTATATATAAAAAAAATTCAACGCCAAAGACTTGAGTTATGTGAGAGATATTTTTTTTTGAAGAGAATTGGGGGTTTATATAAATTTCATCACCAAAGGTTTACAAGGTTTTATGCTAAACATAAATTTTCATAGAACAATACATCATTCACTAATTACGTATTGGGTGAACAATCGAGCAATTACTATAATGATATAAGATATTACGTATTAAAATTTATTTAATTTTATGAATGAATGATTGAAGTTCCGTTATCCCTATTTTTTTCTAAAAAGGCAATAACTTCACGTCAACACTATATATATTTCATTTTTACACATGTGTACATAATAAAATCTATTTATAACCTTATTGATCATCAAATTAATGTTAAATTAGTAATAAATCCCGAGATTTTCTTAGAATTGCAATCCGGGCTTCTATTTTTTGTATATTAATTTTATTTAATTACATTGAATTACGATATTTTTAACCATTCCCTTTTAATTTTCGAAGATAGAACTTTGAATAAAATAGCGATAACGATAATATGTACTGGAATCTGATAATTTCGATGATTTCTATTTTCAATACCTCGAAGCCCATAAATATAGAATATGCTCACGGTGGAATGACAAATTTAATATCACGTAATCCGAATTAGCTAAAATTAGATTCAGGGTTGAGTTGAGATTAAGATCAGGTGAGTGTTATCAGTAAATTTATTACCTCGACACTTCTCATTAACAGCCAATACTTCCAAGTTTAGGTAATCATTTTTTTTAGTATTTATCACAACTTTCTTTCTCCTTGCTTCGTCAACTGATAAAAGACATGATTTAATTGAACTCCAAAAAAGGATACGATCTATCGTAATTCCAAACCATGGACAGCGCGGTACGATAAAATTAATCCTTTTCTGGCCTACACGGCCCGAGTTTTATCGCTTTTTTTTTTTTTTTTTGAAATTTTTTAATCGGTCCGGCTCAAGTACTATACAGTATGTACGTACTTTACGTATGTAAATGCTTTATAATTGATAATTTAGATATTAATTGTAATGCGGTTTTAAAATTAACAAATAGGAGACGTATTTCGGAAAAATAAAATAAGATTTTCTGATCTAAATTTAAAAATCCCTGATGATACCGTCCAGTTAACATATGAAATACTGATGAATTTAATTAAAAATAGGTTACGAATTCTTTTTTTACTATGAGTCTAATCTATATCTTATCATGTGCGTTTATAATCTTAATTTCGCGTGGATATGTTTTGAAATTACTCTCAACCAGAGTTCTGAAAGGACCAACAAAAATGGTGCCTGGACGCATGCCTGAACCATTAATACATAGTGTCCTTGTCTGGCATCCGCAGAGCCCTACTTTCAACCTGAAAAATATTGATAAATTAATAAATCCAATCAGATTATAATGTATCATAACCAACGATTTACAAGGGTGTAAATAAAAATAAAAATAAAATATAATAATAAATAAATAAATAAAATGGATATGAAAATCTTAAATTTTTTTCTATAGATCAATTCAATTACTACTAACAGGGGGAAACGTTGAAACGTCACAAAATCGTTACACAGTTGATAAAAAAAATTTTTTATATTATTTTACAATACTTTTTGGAAGGCTCGCTTGACTTATCTTTTATATGAATATTGAAAATGGTTAAACAAACATGAAGCTTTCACTTTGC